GCAGCTCCATGATTGTGGTACGCACTCCAACTGTAGTGTACCACCACTGTGCTCTGCTGCAGCTTTTGTGCATGCGTTCTTGTGATCCTAGCTCGGACACGTAGGCTCCTGCACGGTGCGGCCCCCGCAAGTGTCTTGTTGAAGGCACAAGCCAGCACACAGACGACGCAGCAGGGTCACGGCCGGTCAGGTGTCGTTTCAAGCCCCCTGATGATGGATATCTTTGCTCGTCGCAGTGCGTTGTGTGTCTTATTATACTCGTCATGCATGCGTGCATGGTGTTTATATAATTATTAATTAATTGTTATATATAAGAAGTATATTAGCCCTATATAAAGCCTCTCGTCAAGTCTGATAAAAAAAATAATAGCTCTCTTCAAGTTGGACATCGCGTGATTGATGAATGATGATGGACATCTTTGCTCGTTGCGACGCATTATTGTATATATGGCTTATTATAGTCTTCATGCATCCTGTTGTCCTGTTTTGGATTGACTAAAACTAATACAAGTTGTGATCAAAGGGTTAGCTGATGATCTAAACAGAATCTAAGTTTTATATTACTCCCTCCATCCCAAATTGTAAGACGTTTGACTTTTTTGACCTAAAGTTTGACCACTCGTCTTATTCAAAAAATTTATGCAAATATAGTCAAATTTAAGTCATTCTTGAAGAATTTTTATTAATAAACCAAACCACGACGAAAGAAGTGATATTTTACATAAATTTTTGAATAAGACGAGTGGTCAAACTTGGTGTCAAAAAAGTCAAACGTCTTACAATTTAGGATGGATGGAGTACTATATAGCAGCGAAGAGAGAGGGAAGAAGACGACAACGAAGCAATGCAAAAGATGACCACCATATAGGCGGCCGTATATTCGCTGCAGTTTGCTGCTATGCTACTGCTACAATAATCACAATTAATAAAGAGCAAAATGTAGCCACAGCTTATACCAGTATTGCAATGATAACCATGCAGAGAGAGCAAATTTGCAGCCACAACTTGTAGCTTGCAATGGGAGTAGGGAACCGAACCAATACTGGTATTGTTCGCTTCTCTTATAATCCGTTTTTTTCAACTTATTTTTTCAGTCGGAATAGTATTTTTTTCTCACAATAAATCGGTCAGAACAATATTTCAACTTATTTTTTCAGCGAAGCGAACGGCCGATATAGTTTGCAGACGACCAAATGTGGTTTAGGCAGCCGGGCACGTATGTACAACCAGGGCTCAGCACATACACTGATGCACTAGCAGAACGTACCACGACACATGTCCATGTGCATGCATGTGTCATTTTAATTGAAGCGCATTTGTCCTTGCTGTGGGAGTACTCCAGCGCGACTGCACTAGCTAGGGTCGTTTGGGCCGTCGGGATCAGATTTAGTATACTAGAAGACAGCAGAAGTAAAACCACTAGCTTAATTAGAATCCTTGGTTCTCACTTGTCACGGACTCCTACTACTACTTCTAGAACTTTATGCTAGCTAGCTTGGTCAAGTACGAGGAAAGTCTAAACGGCACACAGTGACACGAACATGACACGAACAATAATCGCCCTGTTCGCTTGAGTTTATCGGTCAGAATTAGCTCTACTTTTTTTTATGCTATGGAACAATATTTTTCCTCTTACAATAAATTAGCCCTACAAATCAGCCACAGCAGCGATAAGTCCCGCCGAACAGGACGAACAGTATCCGGAACGCCGAATGCAGCGCACCTGGCTTACCATATTAGCCCAGACCGATCGACTACAACTAGCTAGCTAGATTCATTGTCAACACCACACGCAAGCATTATTTAGAGCTGTTTGGATGAGTTTTAATTCTTAAAAACCAGTTTTTAGCTCTAGTTTTTAAAATATGGATTCTGAGCAAAAACTGGTGAGGGTGTTTGGATCCTCCAGTTTTTTACAATCTGGCTTCATTTATTGCTCACAGGATCACAAGAAATTGGCAAAAGCTAGGTATCAACGGCTTCTTGGATTTTAAAAATCTGACAGAAACTGACACAAGAAACGGAATAAAAACTAGTATGTTTAGATCCCACCTAATTTCCAAAACCATATTCTTAAAAATTGGTGGGATCCAAACAGTGCCAAAATCTGAATTCTGAGCAAAATTGGTGGGGTGTTTGGATCTTTTAAGAATCTGGCTTGATTTACTGCTCATGGAGTCACAAGAAACTGGCAAAAGTTAGATATCATAGATTTTTGGTTTTAGATAAAACTGACACCAGAAATTGGACAAAAACTAACTTTTTGATCCCACTCTAGCTACGACAGCACGCACTTAATTATATGGACAAAAACTAACTTGTACTACCTCTGTCAGTGTCGTTAGTAGCTCGATAGAGCCTGAGAGAACAGGCGGGAAAAAATTGCATGCAAACGGTATCCACGGGACTGCATGCATATATGCCTTGGTTGCCTGACACGTGTCCATGCTTCCCAGCATCTGCGCGGTTGGAAGCACGGCTCCACTCGGGCGGAAACACAGAGCGCACAAAATAAAAAATGTCTCCAGCCGCACGTCGTTGGATGGTCTGGATGTAACGCGTGGCATCCATCTAGACGTGTATGCATGCAGTCTCCATGGATACGGTTTGCATGCAATTTTTCTCCGAACAGGCGGACCAAGATGTGACGAAAGTATTCACATTTTCAAAAGGTAGTAAAAAATAATTCAACTCCATTTCATAATATGTATAACTAGTTGCACCGTTAAATATTATTGGTCAGCAATAATAATAGCTACTTAGTGAATACCACTGAATACCTCTTGGGCCCGTCCTTCAAGACTTACCAGCTGATCAAAGATTTTATTCTACACTTTTCTTATAATTTTCAGGTGCTTGGATTTTTAATATGGATTAGGTAACATGTAGTTGTTTGGCTTTTGAAAAAAAAATCATAAATTGTCTCTTATGAATTGTCCTTTTATTTATACTAGTTGATATTGATTACATGCAATTGTTGTTTGGAATTTTCCAAAAATTCAAGTACCTGAAATATAGCAACTTCCCTTCGAAGATAGAGAAACAAACCAAACAAAATTATTTATTCTTTTCGAAACAAAGAAACACTCAAAGTTCTTTATATATAAGGTAAGAGAAAATTATTCCCTCCATCCTAAGTAAGAATGCAATTCTCATTATTTCGAAAGTCAAACAATTTTATGTTTGATAAAATATACAAATAGTAATGATACTTATGATACCAAATTAGTACTATTAGATTACTCATAAAATATAATTTTATAGTATTCTCCCTCCATACTGGTAATTTAAGTTGTTTTTGACAAAGTTTGGGACAAACATTGAAAATACAAATCATGAATAACTTTTAAGTTAAGTTTAGAAATGTGAAAACTGTATGAATAGATTTGTCTTCAAAAGTACTTTCATAAAAATATAATACATCATTTTTCAATAAATATTTTTATAAAAATAAGAAGCCAAATTTATGCTTTGGAGACCATGTCATTTTCCAAAACGACTTGAATTATCAGTATGGAGAGAATATTTATTTGAAATTATATATTTTAATATTTTCTCTAAAATTAACTTAAGCCCGGTTTAGATCCAAATTTTTTTTGGATTTTGGCTACTGTAGCACTTTCGTTTTTTTTTTTGGTAATTAGTGTCTAATTATGGACTAATTAGATTCGAAAGTTTCGTCTCGTGATTTCTCACCCAACTGTGCAATTAGTTTTTTTTTCGTCTACATTTAGTACTCCATACATGCGCCGCAAGATTCGATGTGATGGGTACTGCGTAAAATTTTTTGGGTTTTTGGGGCATCTAAATGGGGCCTTAATCTAAATCTAGAGTTATGTCTATTTGAGCGGAGATAGTATAGAAGTAGATATTTTCTCTAAAAATATCGGATCGGAGCGCCTTGCTAGTGGACGGACTATGACCATTTGAACCTTTTGCCGTAGCTAGCTCTACAGGCACGCCCACTGTTCTCTGTAGCCGCTGTACCCTTTTGCTTTTCTCGAGGACTAAAGTGGCGACATTTGGGTCCGGTTTAGATCGTAAATTTTTATAACCTGGACATTGTAGCATGTTTCGTTTGTATTTGATAAATTTTGTTCGATCATGGACTAACTAGGCTCAAAAGATCCATCTCGTGATTTACAACCAAACTGTGTAATTAGTTACTTTTTTTACCTACATTTAATGCTCCATGTATGTGTCCAAAAATTGATGTGACAGAGAGAGTGAAAAAACTTGGAATTTGGAGATGATCTAAACTTGATCGATCCGCAAGCTACGCACGCGCTGTACTATTGTCGTCTAGGTTTATCGCACTTAACTTTAGATCATGTAGAGTTGCAATGTTAGGCAGGAATTAAATAAGCTCTTACTGTTTCTCCTCACAAAATGCACTACAATGAAAAGATGGGGAATTGAGTGAAGCCAGATTTGAGTACCTTTACTAAATCTCGCTAAGCTACCGTAGTTACACGACATGTGTGTACGAGTAGCTACTACCTTGCCGAGGCGTACGTATCCTATCCACCAGACTCCAACGCCGTGGAGTTAAGTGCAGTAATAAATAAAGAAGTGAATCGGGGGAGACTAAAGATCCCGGGGTCCACGCAGGTCAGCTGGCCTGGCCCCAGAGGCACGCCAGCCTGTCATGCTCCCCTCCCCGTCCCGTCCCTTCCTCTCCAAGCCAGCTGCTCCTCCCTCCTTCCTCCCAGTCCTCCACTAGGCGACAAGCCCCCCCCATTCCCCTCCCCCTCTCCACCGGCTCCGTCTATAAATCACCCACCCGGCCGCCTCCACCGCCATCTCATTCCCCACCTCCTCTGCTTCTCTTCCGCCACAACGACTCCGGCAGCGGCATTGGCAGCCACACCACACCGACGCGCATCTCACCCACCCCAACTGACACTCAACGAGAAGTTCGTTTTCCAATTCGAGCGGGACTAACGGACAACCGACCCGATCGGATCCTCCTCCTCGTCCTACACCTCCGACCACCACCAATGGGGCTGTGCATGTCGAGCGGCGCGTCGGGCGAGACCACGCGCACGGGGGCGGCGCCCAGCAAGGACACGGCGCTGGTGCTGATGCCGAGCGGCGAGATGCGGGAGTACCCGCGCCCGACGACGGCCGCGCGGGTGCTGGAGGACGCCTCCGCCACCGCCGACGGCGACAGCGACTGGTTCCTGTGCGACGCGGACGGGATGGGGATCGAGGGCGCGGTGCCCGCGGTGCGGGACGCGGAGGCGCTCCGCGCGGGGCAGATCTACTTCGTGCTGCCCGCCGCCGCGCGCCGCCGCGGCCTGCGGCGCGAGGAGGTCGCCGCGCTCGCCGTCAGGGCCTCCGCCGCGCTCTCCTCCCGGGCCACCTCGGCCGCAGCGCCCGGCAGGCGGAGGCGCGGCGCCGTCGTCGCGCCCCTCGTCTTCGCGCCGCCGTCGGAAGAGGATGAGCGGGCCGCGGCGGCATGCAAGGCGGCTGCAGCGCCACCGGTGCGGCGGCCCGCCGCGCCGCGCGTGCGCTCCGGCAGGCGGCTCGAGCGGTTCGCCTCGGACCTCACCGCGATCCCCGAGTGCGAGCGAGACGACGAGTGAGTAGCGGCGGCAGCGGGTCAGCCTCAGACGGACGGGATCACGTCGTCGCTCGCTCGAAAGGAGACACTGCTGGCCCCGGGGGCTCCCTCCAACGGAATTGTTGCCAAGGCGGCTCAAGCAGAGGAGGACGCTAGGACGAACAGAGCAATTCCAGGGCCGTCGGATTGTGAATGGACGGGCTAATGATGATTTGCGTATGGCTGGCACGGAACGAATTTTGGATGCGGGTGATCAACTGATCATGATTCATGACGATTCGCATGTGATTCGTTGGGGATTTTGTTTTTTGCACGTTTTACTTGAGTGATGAGATCTATCGGTCTCCAAATTGAGGGGAGGCTCTTTGCACGTGAACGAACGAAATGTGAATACTACAAAGATTTTTTGGCTCCTGTGTTTTTGTGTGCTCACAAACAGTTCTCTACAGGGATTCCTCTGCAAACCCTGAGTGGAGGTGGAAGTGCAGGTGCAGGTGCAGGGTTACTACTCTGACGCAGTGCAGGGTTACTACTCTGACGCAGTGCCTGCGCCATTCTTGCACATTGATGATTTGAGCCAGAATTTGGATACAACATTTGAAGATGCATAGTAGCACTGCCCTTGTTTAGTTTCACCTTAACTTCCAAAAATTTGCTACAGTACCTGTCACATCGAATGTTTGCGGCCCGTGCATAGAGCATTAAATGTAGACGAAAAGAAAAACTAATTGCACAGTTTGGTGAAAAATTACGAGACGAACGTTTTGAGCCTAATTAGTCCATGTTTGAACACTATTTGCCAAATAAAAACGAACGTGCTACAGTAGCTTCAAAATCCAAATTCCTACAACTAAACACAGCGATTAATTCCAAAATGTGAATAGATGATGCATAGGAGTACTAATTAAATCCAAAATATTAAATATGGCGACGGTTGTTTTAGCGAGAAATCGATATTGAAATACATTTCATTTGGAAGTCTCTGGAGAGTTGATTCACTGGTTGAAACGAGCGCTAAAGACATTCTGGCAAATCTTCTCCATGTTAGAGTAAGCTTAGCATAAGCAAGAACTTGAAACCACGAAATACTTAGCCCAAACATATGATACACAACTTATTAGTTATAGGAAAATTGCAACGGAAGAAGAAAAGACTATGACCTTATAGAAAATAAGGACAAAAATATTATATATCTATTTACATCTTACCATTTTCATAAATTTTAATGGCTATAATTTATTTTATGATGATCATGACATCCATAATAAAGTTAATTTCGTTAGTAATATGGCAATGTCCTATTAGGTCTATAACGAATTAAAATACTCCTATTGTCCCAAATCGTAAGTTGTTCAGACTTTTTTAGATGCATAGTTCTTACTACGCTTTTACATATATATTATGTCTAAAAACATAGTAAAAGGTATATATATCTTGAAAGGCCAGAACGATTTATAATTTAGAATAGAGGGAGTACAACCATGAATTTTTTTCAATTGTAAGGCACAAAATATTTACTCATAATATATCATAACTTTAATCTATATCTATATGGATCCTAATCCAAATTCAAATCCAAATAGAAAAGGATAACAATAGAAATTACCATAATCTTATGTCTTATCCTAATTTATATCAACACCTAGATTGTTAGGAATCCTAATTGTAATAGATCTCTCCAGTCACATTAATTTGATTAGGAATCCTAATCCTAATTATATTTTTCTCCTGTCCCAACCCCGTTCAGGTATCTATTTTTTCGCATCCAGTTTCCCTCCGTCCGAGACTCCAAGGCTTCCAATTGTGTCCGTTTCTTTTTTTTTCCATATTTTGTTTCTTTTCTTTTTCCCGTTCTGGTATTGTGTCCGTTTTTTTCACGTAAGTTTTTGTTTCTTCCACGTTCGGTTCTTTTCTCTTTTTTTCATGTTATTCTTTTCTTCCCCTTTCTGTTTGCTTTATTTGTTTTTTCCCATGTTGTGTTTCTTTTTTCTCCTTGTTTTCACGTTCTGTTTTTGAAGTTGGATTTGTCTCGCATTGAAAGAAGGAATAGTAAAAACAAGTAGCATCGCAGACACACTTCTATTTGAACTCGCTGACGGTAACTAATCATGTATTTGGATCCCAAAAAAGTAATAGAACGAGGTGATGGACGAACATATGAGCACGTCTTATGAGTCCAGGTCACATACATGACTCAATATGTTTTGGAGTCGGACTCCGTATCGCACTAGACATGAGCTATTCCAACCCGTATGAGCACGGGTTATATATATAAATCCGGCGGAAGAAACTCTCCATTGTGCGGTAGTTAGAGGGAGACGGACCAAAAAATAGATGGATAAAAAAAATGGGCTGAAATTTTGGCTCTTTATTATTATACTAGTAAATATGCTCGTGCGTTGCAACGGGAGGAAAAAAACAAACATATTCAAGTCCAATAAACAATTAAACATTACTTTTCAAGGAATAAACAATTAAACATGGTCTGAGACTCTTTTTATTTACTCTTTATTGTTTGTCAATGATCTCTATCTGCATATACAATCTATGTTCACAGTATTCGTGTGTAGACAGTCAAGTAAAATGTGCGAACGAAACAATATACATTCGTAGTTATACTTTGTAACTTGTGAATTTAGAGGCAGGAGGACATTTAACGTAATTAGTGTTTGTTTTCATCTTATTCTCTTTTATCATATAACTCAATTCTTTTGGAAATAATCATCAATGTCTTGTTAAATTAAATATGTTAAATACTTGTAAAAGTAAGGCTAGTTGATGCGAACTCAACATGAAATAAGTAGTGCACAAACATTATATAATATAAATAACTATTTTTGTTGGATCATTTTTTTTATCCAACAAAAGTAGTTATTTATATTATATACTCCCAAAAAAGGGGTCACGGTTTATTTGTGCTTTCACGTCAAGGTAAAAGCAAGTGCTTTAGGAACGCACTGAAAACAGTGGAAGCAGGTTTGGGCCGGTCTAGCATTGGGCTTTTACCCTAGTCAACGTAAGAAAGTATTGACCGATCCTTTCAATTGGATTTAACTCCGGTGATACGTCCACAGATTACAGCATGCACCGCCGCCGGCTTTTCCTTAGTGCCACTTGTCAGAACACTTTTGTCCTCCATGTCCTTGTAACGGTGTCAAATGGGGCTACGTAAAGACGAAAATGCCCTCAGGTTAGAGAAGCTAAATGAAGTTGCATTTGCCTCCTGTGCCACTCATCATCACATAGTTGTTTGCATGTCACCAAGAAATAACTTAATAAACACAAACATTCCGTTCGGCTTGCCTTAAAAGCCAGCTTATTCGGCTTCCTTTTTCAGCCAGAACAGTATTTTTCTCTCGCAACATTTTAGCTTTGGCTTGTTTTTTCAGCCAAGCGAACGGGGCCTAACTTAGCCTACAAATTCATAGTCATATAATAATACTCCAACATCAGAAATAGTATTCAAAATGGGTGTGAAAAAAAAAGAAGGTGAAACTGCAAGCGCGCGGCCATCACGAACCATCCGAGCTGAGCAATCACGCCCATGAGGCCGATGTCGCCGCCGCCGTAGACCAGGTTGACGCCCCTCCGCACCTGCACGTTGCAGTCACAACAAGGGAAAAGGCACGGACACGATGGTCAGCAACAACCAAGCAAGAACTAAAAGAAAAAAAATCAAAGAGAACGACGGTGGCAGTGCTCTACTAGGCTACTAGCGCATGGCGGGCGCGATGAGCTCCCTGGGAACGTCGTCAACGTGCTTGCTTGTATCCAATGAATTAATGACATTATTATGTTGCATGTATCGGATCGGATCCAAGACGTCGATCATCGTTGCTTCTCGACCCCTTGGCCATATTTTCCATCAGTGGATCGATTTGGATGACAAGCTCGCTCCATTGATCGGCCAAGGTGGAAGCAAGCCCGCAGCAGCAGCAGGCTCCGGTGCTGCCTTGGTGTCCTGCAGGTCGAGTGGAAGACGTGGGCGCAGTGCGGCAGCACACGCAGCCGTCTGCCTCCGCGAACGCCGCTGGGCAGATGGCGCACTCCTCCTTGTTGGCATCTGTTCTCCTTCCTTTCAGGGAAGAGACGGAGACGGAGACGGTGGGCAGCGCCTCGATGGCCGCCTTTCTACAGTCCCCTGGGCGGCTAGGCAGACGACCTGCTGCCAGAGCTATTGCCGCTTCCACTGCCGCCGGCGACCACCACTGACACAGAGGCTCCTCCTCCTCTGCGATAGGCGCACCGGGCGATGAGCGCAAGGCCGACCACACCGTCACGCAGATGAGGGCACAGAGGAGGGACGCTAGGATGACCATCGTGTCGGAGTCCACGGAGATGGCTTGCTTCGGGGTGCACGTCGTCAAGGTGGTCCCGGTGGCCGTGAGGTCAGGGCTAGGCCACTCCAACGCGCCGCAACTCGCCGCCGGCCAGGAGTGGCGCATGTACCGGGACTTCGCGGTGGCCATTGAGGAGTGCGGGAGGGCATCCCAGACGGAGCCGCGAGTCCATCGAGGAGTGTGAGAGGGCGTCCCATATGCCATCTGGCAGATGGAGCCAGGAGTCGAGCGCGTCCGTGGTGGAGCCTGGATCGGAGGCCGCGACAGTGGCGGAGAGAGCTAGCGCGGGCGCGACACCTCTATCCGTGTGTGTGAGTGCGAGAGGATAGGGTTAGGACACATGAGCATTTTAGACAATTTTACTGGCCGGGTCCACGTGCCACGACTCCCAAACCGTGAAAACTAAACACAATGCAGATGGAATGGTGTGGAGGACAAAAGAGTTCGGACCAGTGGCACCTGTGACCGCTCAAACTTTTTAATGGCATGTGGGTAATTATAAACTTTTATAATGGCACAGATGTAAAAGTCTCGTTTTCCTACTCCAACCAGCAAACCACCATACGAAAGCTCCTAGAGACTCTCTTCCTCTTCTACCATCCCGACGGCTCTTTCATCGGCTCCCTTCCAGATGCCTCGCTCCGCCTTGCCTCCACAATAGGGCCTCGTGACCCAGGGATTG